GCACAGCTACAACCTGGGGGAAACTGACGAGGTGGCAGTGCTGCTGAGAAGGATTTGAGGATTATAGTGAATCAGAAACTGTCCAAAAGTCAACAATGCGATGCAGCTGCCAAACAGGCTAAGATTGTTCTGGGGTGTCATAGGTAACACACGGCAAGTCATTGTCCCACTCTGCTTGGCACTGGTGAGGCCTCAGCTGGAGAACTGTGTCCAGTTCTGGGCACACACTTGAGGGAAGACGTGGACAAACTGGAGAGAGTCCAGAGCAGAACAACAAAAATGAAAAAAGTTTTAGCAAACTTGATCTGTGAGGAAAGGTTGAAACATGGGGCATCTTTAGTCTTGAGAAAAGAAGACTGAGGAGGGACTAGATAAGTGTCTTCAAACGTGGGAAGGGCTGCTATAAAGAGGGCAGTGCTCAATTGTTCTCCGTGTCCACTGAAGGTAGGACAAGAAGCTTAATCTGCAGCAAGGCAGATTTAGATTAGACATTAGGAAAAGCTAATTCTAAGGGTAGTTAAGCTCTGGAACCGGCTCGGGCGGCGATTTAAAGGGCCTGGGGCTCCGCTGTGGTAGCGGCGGCTGGAGCCCCGGGCCCTTTAAATTGCCCCTGAGCCCCAGGGCTCCCAGCCACCTCTGCAGCTGGTAGCTCCGGGGGTGATTTAAAGGGCTACTACTGCAGCCGGAGCCCCGGGGCCTTTAAATCTTAAATATTAATGACCCAGATCCTGAACTGTGCTTTGGACGCTTGCTCCGGGGGCTGTTTTAGTTCAGCTAGCCATGGCCCCAAGGGGCCAGTCCAGTACCGGGGATCAGCATAACACCGGCATGCCTGTGCCACCCCCTGTTTTCTTGGCCATGTTCTCTGCTAAGATGGTGGCATGGAAGAATCATTATGGTGGCTCTATGCCCCCCAAGCTGCCCCCCTTATACAGGGTTTCAGAAGCCATCCTTAACCCCTTCTGGCATCCCCCTGAGGTGAGAGGCAGGTGGAATTCGCTCCATTTCTCCGGGGGAGGAAGTGAGGCACACAGAGCTTAAGTGATGTGCCCAAGGCCGCAAAGCGTTGTGTTGCAGAGCCAGGATCAGGCGTCGGCTTAGCTCCCAGCCCCATGCTCAGGACACACCTCTCTCTGATTGACCCCCCAACGACATGACATTGAGCTCCAGCTCCTGACACACACAACATTTCTGGGCCCAGGGGCTGCTTTCTGCTGCAGCGGGGGAGGTGTGACGTTCCCATCGCGTGCATACAGGGCTTTGGGACTGGGCTTGAGAGCCCCAGACCTGGGTCCCACCAGGACAGAGAGGCCTGGCTTGGCTTCATGGAGGGGTGTCAGGGCCCGGGACCGCTGTAGGATTTACCTGAGAGGAGTGTGGGACCCAGAAGTCTGTCGGCAGGAGCCCAGCTTCGTCGCTGTCCTGGTGCCGCAGGCCGAAGACCCAGGCTACCCCAGAACCGGGTGGTCATCGGGGAGCCTAGAAATCCGCTTGCCACGGGAAAAACGCGGAATTTGCATGTTTACAGAGAATCTTTAGCTTTTACATTGTGTAAAAAAAGAAAAGCCGGTGTGAACGAGTCACTGACCGCACCAGTGTCACCTGTTGAGTGCACCTGCCCCTTCTGGGGGTGATTTTTGAAGGCGCTTTAAATGTACAGCAGAGCCCCGTTTATCCCCTCGAACTGGGCCCCGCTGGAGAACCCCAACTTGGGCGAATCAGGAGAACTGGCAAAGAGCTTTCAACCCTTTGTTTTTTGATTGGGGGGAAGGGGTTGGGGGCTGACTGCTCCAGCCCGTCGCTGTCAGCCCAAGGCGGCTGGTGGTTCGGGTCAGACAGGAGCCGGATAATGGAGACTCCCATCAGTGGGGTTCTCCTGTACATCAGGACACATTCTGCGGATTTGTGGCTGGGGAAACTCAAGTTCACTTTAAACCTGGGGAAACGCGGATTTTTAGGGGTGATTTTGGGGGGTTTACACGGAAGATCCCGATCCCTGGTGATCCGGTTCAGCGCGGCTAGGGCCGCCTGGTGCTCTGGGGGCGCCCGAGGCATTGCCGTGACCCGGGCTCGGTGCCATGGCCGCATGCCCGGAGCGCGCCCCGCCGCGCCGCTTTGTGTCCAGACCTGTGCGCGGCTCGTGCGGGCAAATCCGGAGACATCTCGGGTTCCGCGCGGCTCCGTCCCCTCCCCGCTCGCCAGCCTTTGTCTCCCTCCGCCCCCTCCGCCGGCTCCAGTTCCAGCCGGAGCGCGTCTGAGCCCGG